TAACTGGGCTCTGGGTGTGTCTAACAACAAAGCAGGTGGAATTGCACAGATGCCTAAATCCATTCATGCTCTGGGATAATCCACCAAAGTGCCTTTGGCGGTACTAGTGTTTCAGTGATGGCGAACCTATGACATGCGTATCAGAGGTGACACGTGAACTCATTTTTTTGGTTGATTTTTCTTTGTTAAATGGCATTTAAGTATATAAAATAAATATCAAAAATATGTCTTTGTTTTACTGTGTTTGCAAATATCAAAAAATTTCTATATGTGACACGGCACCAGAGTTAAGTTAGGGTTTTTCAAAATGCTGACAGGCCGAGCTCAAAAGGTTCGCCATCACTGCTCTAAGAGGAGAGTAGGAGTTAGGGCTTGAGAGGGGGAGGGAGGTGTTAGACGACTTCTACTTTTTTTACTTTTTATGATCTGTATTCATTATGAACATGAATCTTAATCAAAATTTGTTTTTTAAATGTTTTAAATAGCTGATTAGTGATCTTTAATATAATAGGCTTTAATCTACCAATAAAATCAACTTCTCTCCTAATGACTAGATATATTGACCTCATTTGTTTTATTTTATAATATAGTCAGGTGGCAGGCGAATAGCCCAGAATAAGGTGAATTCCTGAAGGAAGTTTGTTGGAAATGGAATTAAGTAATTAAGATAGTCCACACATAGTTGAAAGTTAACTATTTCATAGATTCCCAATAACAATGAATTAAAGATGATATATTTTCAAGGTTATAAGGGCTCTCCAAACTAAATCAGAGTGAAAGGCTCATACTGCTGCTAAGACCTAACCTTCACACAGTAAGTGGAAAATTCCACTCATATGCTAAACAGCTGCTGAAAGTTTAGTAACATATTAATTAGCTCACACAATCTAAAACTGTATTACTTACAATACATATAATTCCAAATGGCTTAGGCTGGCATCTGAACAAAGCTTGTAACTATTATGCATGCATAATATATATATATATGGCTAATATGCAAAGTGTCCCCTTGGGAGTTCAACCGGGAGTTCGATTGCTCGCTATGACATGTGCTGACCACCGGGGGGGGGGGGGGGGGGCGGTAAGGAATGAAGGAAGTCCAGGGAAGGAGCCCCGATTGGCCCTGATTGCCAGCCAGGCCTAGAAACCCTACCCGTGCACAAATTTCATGCACCGGGCCTCTAGCAAGATATAATTAATATTTTTCAGTTCCCCAATGTTTCTGTTTCATATTGCCTTCAAATTTCAAATCCACAAAAGTCAAAACATCAAAAAAAGGAACCATAGAAGAAAAAAATGACAATGGAATACACACATATGCTACATTTAATTTTTTAAAGGTGCTTACTTACTACATTTTCTTTCCTTAAACATCTCCAGCCTTACATCACAAAGCAGCACTTTGATTTCTTACACTAATGAGATTTTGTACTATTTAGCAGACTTTGGACTTTTCAGACTATTCTAGCAACACTAAATGTTTATTGCATGCAATAAAATGTCCTAATTGCAAGGCTGGTGTGTAGGAATGACAAAGCTTGCTAGCTCATCCCAATACACTTTTGTTATAATCTACTTACTATAGCTGCTGAGAATTCTACACATTTGAGATGCACAAAAGATTTGATTTTTTTGAATGACAAAAAATCTATAGTACTTGTTACTAATCCTAAAAGATAGTTCTATGCCATAAGATAATATTCTTTATGAAGGATAACTAAATTGGCTGACAGGTCTCATCGTACTCAGCTCCCCCCACATTCAGAAGTTTATGGAAGACAGCGGTTCCCATACCTGCCCTTCAGGTTCTCAAGTTCCCTGTGATGCAACATGCTCCTCATGTGCTCGTCCATCTCCTTCAAAATTAAAGAAAGCAGATTAAAGGGGATTGTGTTGTGGAAAAAAAAATTTCTCTGTTCATGTTCAATCAACAATGAGGACTCAAGCTCCTAGTGTCAAAAGTGTTTGTGGTTACTCTTCTCAATTCAATATTGTAAACAGTTCCTTATAAAATATTTCTTTAGCTATGTTCTATTTTCAAATAAAGGAATTTTAAAGAAAGGCCCATATAAGTGACTTTCTAAAAAGGTTAGAAAGTATATTGTTTTTAGAAGACAAAAGCTTTATGAATACATTATGTGAGCCCAACTAGTGTGGCTCAGTGGTTGAGCGTCAACCTATTAACCAAGAGATCACAAGTTTGATTCCTGGTCAAGGCACATACCTGGGTTGCGGGTTTGGTCTCCGGTCCCGGTTGGGGGCATGTATGGGAGGCAACCAATCTATGTGTCTCGCTCTCATCCATGTTTTACTGTCT